ATTGAGGCAATTGTAAAATAATATGCAAATTATCAACTTGATGTTCATTTTAAAGCCAAAAAATAAGAAACTGACATAAAATAATAATCCAAAAGTCAAGCTACCCACTTTCTTATAATTATTTCCCTTGTCACCTTTTAGTAATTTTTGTGAGAGTCTTACAGAGTAAACAAATGGACTATAACTCCTAGGCATTGCGCATCACTCTAGCAATCTAAGTTTTTTCAAATAATATCCAAATTTTGCAAAGCTTGCCTAAAAAAAAGTTAGCTGAATTTTTATGTCACTAACTGCTAAAGTTTAAACATAGAAATTCTCTCTTGGTAGAGGAGGTTTGAATTTTCCTTCCAAAGCAGTGGGGGCATCAATAATTTTCTCTACACAGTGACCTTTCTATGGTTCTATCACCATATGAATCATAGAATCATAGAATTTTAGGGGTTGGAATGGACCTTACTGATCATCTAGTCCCAACCCCCCCTGCCATGGGCACAGACACCTCCTCACTAGATCAGGTTGCTCAAGGCCTCATCCAGCCTGGCCTTAAACACTGCCAGGGTCGGGGCAGCCACCACGTCCCTAGGCAACCTGTTCCAGTGTCTCAACACCCTTATAGTAAAAAAAATTTCTCTCTTTCCAGACTTAATTTTCCTGTGTGGTTTTCCCAATATGGGTAAGATAGAAGGCAGAAAAAAGTATTTAGACCTACTTGTGAAAGAATCCCTCATGCCCTAACACAGAAGTGCAGCAGTAGTATCATTCTACCAGCCACTTGGCATGGCACATGTGAATTAAAAAAAGATACAGCAGCATAAGACTGAAAGAGAACATATCAATGCACATTTGCAAGTTTCTGTTTCTTAACATGGTATATGGCTGATGCAGAGCTGAAGCAATCTCTTTCCAAAACATAAATAAAGTAATGGGTTTAATTTACTAATGCTGAGTAGAAGAAAAATCCTTCTTTGAAAGAAGGAAATGACTCCCCTACAGGTATAGTATATTGAACAAGTACTCAGAGGCAGAATAGCATCTTTTCCTTGTTCATTTGAAGACTTTAAAAAAAGTTCTGTGTGGGAATGCATGTCAAAAATCTCCTCTATCTTGAACACTTAAACTGTGTATTGTCACTATAAAGTGCATCTATGCAGTTATAAAAGAAGATGAAATGAAGTTCTTTTGAATTGCTATAAAAAGTAAGTAAAAAATCTAGGATTTGGAGCTTCCAGATATGCTTGCTAAAATAATTGTCAGACAGTTATTGGCTGGGACATTAATTCTCTTTTTGAAGAAATGGTGCAAATGGAATAATTTTAATTTTTAGCCTTTTGATTAAAGTTCCACCACGGGGAAGGCAGATTCCCCTCTGAAGAGATATTCCTTAAGAATGCAGTTATAAAGTCAATGACTAGCAAATCTTATTTATGTTTCTGTAATTTTATTAATTTCTAGCAATATGAGTATTTAAAAAATAACTATTAAAAGAAGACAACTACAGCTTACGATATAATTTTGAAGCAGCAGTTCCACAGACTCTCGCCTTCCATATTTGATAATCCATGATTTTAACTTTGATTCTGCAAGGACTAAGAGTGATAGTAGACGATACTTCAGTTCCAGAAACTCCATCTTCAACAGATGGAGCTCAGATGAGGAGACAACAAAATTAAACCTATAAAACAAATCACACTGTAGTAAAATACAGCAAAAATCATTTTTGCAGGAGAGACTGAAATCTTTAATTACAGTCTTGATATCCTTCTAATCTTTCACCTTATTCAGAGTCTACAAACATTTAATGGTGTAATATGATATTCTGATGATTACTCTTGAACAGCAAATTAATTAAATTTCTTTTTACTCCCAGAAATCTTCAGTTTATGTCTGTTACTAAGTTTTGCAAAGTCATTTTTCTTTTTTATTCACATGCATCCTGGCTGTTATATAACATTTCTTCCAGGGACAAGGAATAACAGGATCAATGCAAAAAAGTATTCCCTTCCAAAATCTATAGCTCATTTTGTTTCTCATCAATCTTTAAAGCATCAGGGTTTTCAGTCTATTTTTATGTATAATTCTAGGAGATTTTTTTCATCCATCTCAGTTTGCCACTGAGATACATAACTAGACAGTGATTTCTACATGAAGAGATTAGAAAGCAAACAGGCTCCCCTTCATGCACATTGAAAGCCTTACCTGTCTGCCATGTCTTCTAACTGGTCAGGTGGAACAGGCACGCCGTTAACGGACCTGGCCCTGTGGATCTCATGGAATGCTTTTTTGTGACCATCTATGTTTTTCAGCAGATCCTGATTTGATTTGAAGAAAGAGAGAGAGATTGAGAGAGTGGGGGGGGGGGGGGGGGCAGGATGGAGAGAAAAGGCTCACAGTAGGCTATCTAACTAATAAGCACAATTTTAAGTCTGCACTGATGACTCAATGTAGTTAACTATTTGATCATGCTCTCACATTTGCATGCAAGGTTATGCATACCACAAAAGCATTTACATCAACTAGAACATTTACACAGGGAACCCTCTTACGTGCAGCCCTGTTACAGCTATGTCAAACAATTATGGAACATTTTAAAACAGAGGATACACCAAAAAGGTTTAACAAAACATGAACTATTAACCGCATTAAATAATCCCTGAAATGCAGTCTGCTGATATGCTAACATCACAACAGCATAATCTTGCTAAATTTACTCTTTACATCTTTATAACACATACGAACCTTTATTAAGTAATAAATTCAAATTTTCAGCAACTAATCTACTCTGCTATATATAACAGATGAACTGTAGCTCCTTATGTAAATACATATTCAATATTTAGTAAACTTTTCACTCTCTCACCATCAAAGACTTCAGGATCACCCTCTCAATATTGCACGAACGAATGCAGAATGTGGTACCCGACCTGTATTCCTGCGATATGAATTGTACCAGCAAAAACCTTACAGCACAGCACACTTCAACTGTAACTAAGCAACACTGCTTCAAACGGCTTCCTGGAGATTACATATTAAAATGAATGACTGGCAGCAGTCTTTGAAGAGATGCTGTTAACAGTAACACGTCAAGTCCCCAGGGAGTGACGGAGAGGACACAGAGGTGGGTATTTTACTGCATACAGACAGCTGCTGGCACAAAGTGCTCAGAAGACTGCCAGCAAAGGAGATCATACAAAGGTTCCTCCCTTCTCACCTGAAGGAACAAAATGCAGGCTTCTGTACTGATCATACACATCTATTATTCCTATGTGCCAAGGAAGGGCTTTTCCCCAGCCAACACCCAGGGTTTGCACAGGAGGAATCAATGGTAGTACATTGGCTCAGCTCACAAAATGGTCCCATTATCCCCATCCACTCAACTGTATTTTCATTGTTTTCCACTTCAGCCAACACCTTGTTGTGAAGAGAAACGAACTAGGCTTTCTCAGATGCAAGTGATGTGCTGATTTTGCCATGCCAAAAACAGTCTCACATAAAGGAAACACCTGGAACAAATACTCAGGTGCATTTGAGACTCTGCCATACAAAAAGGGATGCCCCTAACATACATTGGTGAGTCAAAATAAATCCCAGTACTTTCATCCAACATCAACTGGAAGGCCATGAAAATGTATATAAAGTGCTCTCATAAAACGAAATCCTGCTCTGCAAAATTACCCTCAACAAGCATAGACAATTGCCCTTCATTTCTGGATCTGGGTAGCATTATCTACTAAAATAAACTTAAGTGCTTGCCTGATTCCATGAGGTTTGTCCAAATAAGACAGTACATTTTGTATTAAGTTCAGAATGTCCATAAGCTATAAAGTTCACTAAAATAACCCATTGTCAGATGAAACAAAGATAAAAAGAAAGCGATGATGTCATCTGAACAAAATCATAACAAACTCCAAGGAAACAAGGACTGAAAAAATTACACTAATGCATTTCTGGTACTATCCAGTAGCACATTAGGATTCATCAATTCAAATCTGAGCAATAAAACCAACTCCAGGAACAGATATAATTATACATGCTTCTCTTGAAGCTTATTCCATCCCACTCCCATGGGAAAACTCCCCTGGCACAGATTAACCTAAATCAAAGTTTATTTGTTGGCATAGAAATCCCTCACCACAGCATTTCTGATGCAAGTGAAACACAGTTTAGGACACGCTCATTTGTGCTTCTTATGAATGTATCCAAAGGAGTTCTCTAGTGTTCACATTCTAATAGCAAAACAGTGTTTGACTCATTTTTTTTAAAAAAATAAATATCAAATCTTACAAACCCTGAAACATTTGATGTTAAGAAAGCTAACATGAAATTTAACATTATAGGAGGCTAGATCCTGAAAAACCCCATATCTTCCTCATAAATTTTGACGTATTTTTTGTTAAATTTTATTAGCTACTACCAAAGTTAGAAGAACTGAAATTGTTCCAATAAAAAGCAAATAGATGACCATGAAACTTTTCAGCTTTTCATTACATGACATTACTTTTTGATACAAAAACCCCACCCATGTCCTAAATGCAAAAAAATAACAAAATTACAATCAAGTTTTAAAACAGTAGCAAGAGAGAAAAAAAGCAATGTAAAGCAATACAGCCTTACTGCCTCAAATGCTGCCTTTTCTACACCATCTTTTCCCTTTCTGTATCATATTTACTGGTTCAGTTTCTTTTATCATCTCACCAACACATTTTTTTGCCAATATATTTTTCTAATATATTACATGAATGTCACAGTTTTGATTTTAAATGAGAACTTGGACTCAGTGAAGAATAATGGTATGGTTATTTAAATTTATCTGGAAAAGCTTCCTGTTTACCACAGCATGCTATCTGTCATCACAGATGGCCATCATGCTATCTGTCATCACAACACTATGAAAATTCACTTCATTCTAATTTCCCCCCCACCCCGTTCATATCGCCTCCACTGACTATCAGCACAGTTAGTACATTTGCTCCCTCATTCCTCTTTCACTTAGTAAGTTCATATTGGTTGAACAATGCACCTGAACCATGAGCTCCCTATAGAATTTTACTACAGAAATTTAAATATTAATACCTGACGCCTTTCAGACAGAAGAAGCAGGAACATTCAAAAGTAATTTTGAATATTCTTTGTAAGGTACACAGGTATCACAGTTCAGGTCATCATGACAAGACACCTAGCTTTAGGCACCATCAAGATGATGCAACCCACAGAAACTAGAAATAATAATCTTTGTATAGCATGGATCATTTACAGTTGTGGAAACAATGAAGTCTAATGCACAGAAGGAATGCATCTACACCTACCTTATGTTGTTCAAGCTTCCTGTGTATTGTATTTGCTGTTTCATCATGAGCTTGCTGAACAGTTACTTCTTCCCTCAGAGCAGCCTCTGCTCTGTAAAGCCAAGCACCTATGGTACCCAAAGGTGCAGGAAGAGATTTATCAAGATGTACGTGCCAATCAAACAGCTAGGAAATAAAAGTAAAAGGATTGAAATTCCTTCCTAGCTTAATTACACAAACAAATACCTTGATAAAAATCACACTTTACAGTGTAATATCAAAACCTCTCATAACAGAGTATGTTTGCGGCATAAATCTAGGTATATTAATCCACATGAGTTTGGAAATTACAGCATTCACACAGGCAACAAAATCTCTATAGCGATTTGTTGATTCATGTATTTCCCTTTCAGAATGGTAATTGAGTTACAGAATGACCATGAATAAACTGGAACAACTGACAAACTAAAGATCTGGAATTTCATTAGTTAATAGGGACAGTAAGGGATATGACACCTTCTTCTCCCAATGCCATTTATATAATTCTCTTGCAGAAAATCTTGTTATCTCTATTTTGAACATATTTTATATATGTAAGGTGCAAATGAGTCCCAGAGGACTGTGGAGTCAAGAATATAGCAGTAAAATACACTCTCTTACTGGCAATCCCAGTAATGAAAATTATATGTAAACTCCAGAATATTCTTAAACAGATCCTCTGCTAAACATGACATAAAAAATATGACATAAAAATATATACACTATGAATATATACTAGCAATAATGATTAAATAACTTCTTATTTGGGACAAACAATATAACTTGCTTGGGTTTTTTCATTCAATTGTACAAAATTGCTATAACAAATACTAATATTAATTTATTATGATTGCAACCAGGTCACAAACAGAACTAATGCCTCATTGACAAAAGATTCAGTATTACACAGAAAGGTCTTTTTGTTATATTAAAAAGACATGTTATACTAGAATTCTCAAGAAACTAGTAATTTGCACTAGAACATTGGGTTTTATCAACAATGTTTTGGACTTGGCTAAGCACTGCTAACTTTCCTTCAAATAAAGGGAAACCTCAAAGTACGGTCCTTTTCTTAAGCTTCATATTCTATTTTTGAGCAATATTAAAGATGGTTATGCAGTAAATGTTTTCAAACAAATGCAAAGTAACTCAGCAGTGCTAGAAATTTGGTCCAGTATTAGTCTCCTAATCAATATCAATCTCAAACAAGTGTCTAAATGATTTTAAATTCTCATCCTTCATTTAATAAAGAAATTCATAGCATAATAATTTTCAACTTACCCTAGAAGAAACTCTCTCCCATGCTTGCTTCACCATAGCTTGATCAAGTGATAGTTTACCATCTTTCCTTAATGACTGGGTTACAAGTTCAATCTGTTTCCTTTTTACCTCATATTGTACTCTGAAATGCTTAAATGACTGCATAAAGAAAAAATCAAATCAATGCAGTACGGAGTCAAAGGATATTTATAAAGTCCTACAACCTATGATAATTTTGTCCTAATAGAAGTCTTAATCCTTCTCAACTAGGAGTAGCACTAAACTTCCTTATTTACTTGTATATTTATTATTTATACATAGGTAGGACTTTTGTATTTCCCTTCAGATATCAGATGCCTGAACCTTGTACGAAATGAAATAATTATTGATCAGATAAACTAGTAAATGGATTTAATGCTACTTGGGACAGTGGATGCTTTTAGAGAACAATCAAGTTTCAGGAGAAAATTTAGGACAAAATTTGTATTGCTGGTTTAGACATAAACCTTTGAGAAAGGGGATAAAAATGAAGCTCTAAGCTCTGTACTCTCCACCTGTCACCTCATCCAGCCTTCAGTCAGACCTCCTATCTGAGCTAAATCATGCAGGATCTGGAAGGACTGCACAGACACATGCTCACTCTAACTAGGACAGTCCTTCTTCACACTGCTAGGAAAAGCTCTGTGTTAGGCAAACCATCTGTGCACTGTCCTACGTACAAAACTGGAGATACCAGTATAAATAATTCCTCCACCAATAAAAGACAAAACAGTTTGTGTCCTTATTTCTTTAAACGGCAGTATATTGACTCGCATATATACAGAGTACATAAAATACTGCAGTACATGTTACACATATTTTCTTATCACACAGAATTTTCCCTGCTGCTTACCTGATATTTCTCATGCAAGCTTGTTTCTGCCACTTGTGCTCGGGCTATGTCTCTTTCAAGTTGTTCTGCCCATACTTTTAGGTCTCTCAACACCAGTCTGTCTTCTTTCTATGATGTAGTACAACCACACATTAAAAAAACACCATTACAGCCTATAGTAGCGGTGTCAGACATAGTCCAGAAATTGACATCTCTATAGCAAGCCTAGGACGTTAGTTGTAGTGAAAGCCAATGGACCCAATACTTTCACCGTGTACCTTCATACAGTCTAACTGAAAAGCACTTCCTGAGTATAAGAGAACTCAGCAACTAGACATGAGACATAAGTCTAACGGTGGTGAAATCATGACAATTTTGGACTTTGCAGCATCAGAGATATTACTTGCAGTTCTCATGTTAAATTAAGACAGTTCTTAAATATACCTTAACAATTAATTATAGTCTTTCACAGATTTGCAAAGTCAATTTTCATTAAAAATTAATTGAGCTGAGACAGGTGAGGATTTTTCAGTCTTTTACCATCATTTTATTAGCTGGTCTGCTATTGCTGAAAAATAGAGTTATTTTCTGAGCAACTTCAGGGCAATCCTTGACATCAAGCTCCAAGTTCAGAAGTTAGCAAAATATTCTGAATACTTTAACATGGAAAATGAAAAGAAAGAAGGAAGGAAAACCCAAATTTATTCAGTTTGTTTTCCTTCTATGCTATTTTATGACTTTGAGGAAAAGCATATTTGTTTTACAGATTTCCTTTAACACTTCAGTCTGTCACGGCACTGCTGCTTTGTAAGGCTGCAAAGTTCTTTGCAGAATTCAGTGACCAGGCAGTGAATAGAAAAATAGCAACACAAAATCTCAGGTCTATGAGCATGTTATATGCAACAGTTAGCAGACAACAAAAAATATTTTGTGCACTATGTAAATTGATCAATTGTCTGTCTCAGATTTCCCAGAAATTAACTATATGTGTTGGCTGTTAATCAGAAGCTACTTTTTGAAACCAAAGAAGCCATGGTACTGTAAAATTTGTCAGAAACAGATCTCTTACAGTGAACAAATGCAGCATCCCATCCTATAAGCTAATCACCTAAAATGAGTGATTAAATTCCAAGCATTACATGAGAGAATTAAAACTTGACCATGGGATAAAAAAGAATAGTCACTGCCTGTATTTAAGAAACAAAGTACTGTCTTTTAAGAAAAGAGTCTGACCTGGAAAAGGAGCCAATTATGGTTCCTTTCTTTGAAAGCTACCTCAAATATTTAAAATATAACTTCCCTAGCACTTCATTTCAGCCACGGAAAGGACAGGTTACTCAGACAGAAAAAAAAAAACCTTCTTTGATGTATTTCTACGAATTCTCTTCTCGATCCTCTATTCAAAACTGGTGGTAGCTGGTTGACCAGAATTTGCGCAACAGGTTTGCAAATATCACAGGTATTTTACCAGTTAACTTGATAGTTGGGTAGTTCCAGTGAGGTTAACATGATATTAGAGCAGTTGTGCTGGAACAAAGTTCGCTATAGCTCACGCTCCTGTGTTCTGACACACAAAAGCTGATACCTGAGAAACAGTGCAGGACAGATATCACACTTCCCCACTCCAGCTATTTGTAACACTGGACTTTCCTTGGCTGCACATGGTGTCCGAAGAAGCCAAAACTCCTAGTGCTTCCAACTTCTCAAAGCATTTAAATATTGAGACAGAGAATAAAATTCCTGAGCTTCTGGTCTGTGTGTGTGAAAATAACATCAAGAGACAAACAGCAAAGCCAGGACTACGCCCCTATGAGCACAGAATCATTTAGGTTGGAAAAGACCTCTAAGATCGTCGAGCCGAACCAAGATTATGAGAAGAGAAAATCTTAACTCATTCAGCCATGATTAAAAAAAAAGAACTTTGGTGTTAAAGTTGCACCATTCTTTAGAAACTATAACTTTAGTGAGACTATTAAGATCTCTATTAGAATTTAGCTTCCAGCTCCATAAACGCAATACTAAACAAAGCATCTAAATGGATTGAAAATCCTATAACAATCCTGCTAATTGAAACTTTCGTTAAGATATTTTTGAAGTCAGAAAGAGAATAATTGTGTTTCAATGTTGTGTATATTACTTTTCATTTACACAATAAATTCAGTTTTGTAAAACACTGGCTTATATTCCTCTATGGCTCACATTCTTACTGCTGAGAAGCACCTTCATAAGGTAAGACTTTGACAGAGCAACTATGTGCCTGCAACTGTTGATGCAGTAATCTGAGCAGAACAGGTATTTCGCAAGGTTCCTGGTATCACAGCTTAAAAAATTAATTATGGCTAAAACTGGGTCTGACCAAATCGTTTTAAAATAGACTATCACTGGGATTAAGGATACCTCTATGGCACCTGAAGATAAAGAACACAGGAACAGCCTCACATCTTTTAAATCATATATTTTTTTCTATGACATGAAGAGAAAGGATCTAGTTAACAGGTGCCATTGAGTCTTCTATATTTTTTAAAACTATTTAGTTGCACCATTTTTTGTTTTCTTTGTTTAACTGCAGAAGGTGTAGGTGCTTCAATAACTGCCTAACTGAATGCTGTTAAGGACATTGTGCAGCAATGTGAGATAAGCATTTTTTTAAATTTATTCATATGTTTTCACACGTTTCCAGTTCAGTGCATCAGTTACCACCTGCAAATTTGGTTCTGTGGCCCTTGGTTGATATTAAATCCTTTTAAAGTCTCAGTTTGGGTAACTGACCAAAAGGATTCACTTTCTTAGACACCAAAGCACCTTCTATCAACACCTGCCAAATTTAATGAGGTATCATTCTTAAAACAAGACTTTCATAAGTGCCTAGTGATTCTTAGTCTTAGTAAAAAAATATATCAAAAGGACATTCTTACAGACATGTAAACTATTTTCTAAAGCCTGCACATCTGAAGTAGCATATAGAACAGAATATGAACCATCAAACAAAAATTATGTAGAATAATTATAATTATTTGTGCTTTCCCCAGCATGAGGATCATTGATCACATTTATCTCAGTTTATCTAAGACACTATGCCTTATTCAGTATGTTACTTTCAAGGAGCATTTTAAAGTATTAATTTATCCTGACACCATTCTATGAATATTCACTGATTTGCAGAGATGAACAGAACTGGAGAACTCAACTGACAAAGAACATCAAAGAATGTTGTCAGAGAAAAGTGCTTATGAGTTCCAGTATGATAAGGGGGTACAATTTAAATTTACAAAGAAAGTTTTCAGCTCAGACCCAAAGTCAAAACATTATTTTATTAATTTATATGCCAGACTTAATTTGAACATTACATAATACAGAATACTCTAGGGTTTGAAGAGCTAAAAATATCACAAGAATTTTAATTATGGACTGGAAAAGGAGTACTTTGTTGGGCTCTCTAGTATGTAATTATAAACTGGGTGAACTGTTCAAATTCTCAGGCACAAGCAGGATAGAATTTTCAAATATTAAATTTTAAATCTAAAAAAATTATGTCACCTGTTTTTCAGGTAGGTTGAACAACTGTATTGCATATATATGGAGAAAATAAAGTCCCTTTCAAAATGTTTACACATAAATTCAAGTAATTTTGCTATGCCTTCTCTGTTATATATATATATGTGTTATTGGATGTATATGTGTTACTGAAACTCGTTCACTGACAGTATCACAGATGCATGGTGAATGCTGAGCCAAGCATCACATTCAGGGATGAGCTATTAATGCCCATCTCTAAAAGTAGAGAGTAAATCACTGAAAGAGCTCAGAAAGCTATTTTTGCAATCTCTGCTCAGGAAATTCCTCTTACATTGGGGAACTCTGCTGGCATAAAGATGTCGGAGATGACAGGATTATCTTCTGAATTACTTGCTCATCAGAGCACAAGGAGAGAAAGACTTTACATCAGAAATACTTTGAGGGAGTGTGTTTACATTATAAATAAATTTATACCATGATAAGGAATTCAACAGAGCTTTTACCACTTCAAATCTTCTGTAGCCTAAGAAGCAATGCACTGGGGCTGTGTAAGGCTAAGAATGGACATGGTTCCCTGAAAGCTTTCCAAACTCCCTTGAATGGCTTGAGAATATAGCAATAATTCTGCTACCAGTATTAATCTTCACATCAACACATCACTAGTTAGATAAACAGAAGATGAACTCTTGATCATACTTACTCTAAAACAACCTGTTGCTTATACATACTTAAATAAAAGCCAAACAAAAAACCCAAAAAAACCCCAGACCCCACAAAATACCAAAAAACTACTCCAAATCACCATAAGTGTGCAACCCCCAATATGTTCACTTTTGCAGTCTTCCAGCTTCACCTCTGAATGTTAATTCTATATCCTCCATGTTAGATTTCTGAACTGCTCTCAGTCAATACAAGAAAATTATAAGTATCTAAATGCCCAAGATGATAAAAAAGTATATTTTTAAAACATCATAGTTTATATGAAAAGGAGCAGTGCATATCATTCAATTACATATGAATATGCTCTCCTTCCAATTCACAGTCCACATACATCACTTACACAATCATACAGTCTAGTATCTACTCTATAAACCTAGAGACACACAAAAATAACCATCTAAAATGAGATTAGATGAGTAGAAACACTAATCTACAATCTATTTTTACATGTTTATATCTATACTTTAGAAAACCAAAAGCATAGTCTGAGATTTATTATAGAAAAGTTGACTTGCTTTTCTGTAATATTTTTGGTAATTTATTTCCAAAATTAAGCATTAGGCTGTTATGAACAGCTCATGTAAAAATCAGGCTTAGATTCATCATGTTCATCTACTTGGTATTTTGGAAAGATTAATTTAAGACGAGCAAACCAATGTGCACAAAAAATCCTGCAAATCTGAAGTCAGATAAGTGCAGGATAAAAAAAGGTAACAACCATGAAAGGTCAAATTCAAGCAACTATTCTGGAGCATAATACCCTTACCTTAAATTTCATAAAAGAAATGACAAAAGTTGGGATTGCTTGAAGTTCCTAGCAATATGAAACAAATGAGGAAACAGGAAGAAGGAAAAAAAAAAAGCAAAATAAAACAAAGCGAAGGAAGCAGGAAGTCCAGAGAGAACAGTAAGAGCCACACATGTAGGAATACAAGATGTACTTAAACTATTTTCAAGCTCATGTGTCTGTATCATATCTAGTGAAGTGGTTTTCATATCAGATCTGATTTTCAGATTACTAGTCACTACATGATTTATGTTGTCCGGAAAAATAGTTACTTACCTTAGAGCAACTGTTATTCTTTGAGATGTGTTGACTACACAAGTTCATATATGTTCGTAGCTGATCCATGTATGAGATATTAGATCCCATTTAATTCTGGAAATGTACATGCAAATAGCTGTTCCCTCTGACCACAAACAAGGGATAAGATTCAATCATTACTCCACTTTTTCCAATACAAATTCTTTAGAAACTGAGCATTGGAATCAGGAGGAAAGATGAATAGGAATTTGTGTGGACAACACATCTTGAAGAAACAGAGTGGTAGTGGTGGCTGAAGGGTGAGAGGAGAGGGTTAGAAATCTCCCATCACCCTCAGCTCCCCGCCAAAACCACCTAGACACACTCCATTCTGAAGAAGGATTCTTCTAACTAAAAATAGGTATCTGCAACTGAAATAGTGCCTTATTCAGTTGTTTTTGGCAGATAGATAAACCCAGTTGTATCTATCATCTACTGCCAACTCATTCTACAGCATGCACTTAACACAGGTCAGGTGGAATACACCCTAAAAGTCCTTAATTTTGGAAAACAAGGAATTAAGAGTACCCCAGGAATTCAAGGGATAAGAGTCTTATCAGGTCATCTCTTCCAGGTGCCTGGATTCTACCATTGTATGATAATTATTTCATTACACTATCCCTAAGGAGGAAGACAGAAAGGCTTCTTCTGAAAGCTAGGACGATTATGCTGGTCACAAAAATGCATAAAAAGCATGACTGGATTTCCTTTTAATCAACTGCCAACAATATTTTATCTCTCATTACCTAAGGCATGGAATTATCTGACTGCATTTTGACTCTGTTGAAATGCTCTGCAACATGAGCTTCCAGAAGACAGTTTATTTAGGACACTGTTTTAAGAAAGATGTCATCTGGGAAAGTGTCTATCTCTTGCTGGCTACAGGTGGATTGTTTTAAGTACCTAGCTTCTAGATTTTAAAGATGGGTGGATCCTGTCCTAAATAACTGAACTAAACAAATAATATATAGATGGACATGGCTACTGCAGGTCAGTAAGACGGAATATAGTTCTTCCTCACAGAAACAAAGAATGATGACATTAGAAATTTAGTGCAATGTCAAACTCTTCCTTTCTTCTCAAAGCCTGGGAGTTACTGGTTTCTGCAGTGTGACATGCAAGGGATCAGCAGTTCTACCAAAATTTACCTGGCTTGCTAGTGGAAAATATTAGTGATATGCAGGAAGAGAAAGTGGTCCTAAGATCAGCATGTCCAACTGATTAATTTTTGTTGTTTTGCTTCCTAGTAATTCACTTGTGGAATTTTGGATGCAACTCATTAGTTTCCCTTTCATAACTCCTGCTAGCATCTCCGTGGGTATAGCCAGAGGCAGGCTGAGAATGAAATGGCTGAGTCCTGCGTTCTCCTGCACTGTCTTGCATAAAGCTCAAGCGAAGATGGTGAGGTTGTTCCTCAAAACCCAACCCAAGCACAGGCAGTGGACCTGGCCAAGGCTGTGGGCAGCAGAAACTGCACTGTGTGCCATGGTATGGAGATCACAGCATTGTGTCAGCCTGCCACAGGCCACAGCATGTGAACACACTGTTCACTTCAGCAGCTCCATTGCTAAGTGGGACACACCTACATCCTCAGAAACAATGTTGGAGGAAGGAAAATCAAACATTCCAGTGCTCAGGCACTGGAAATGGACAGCAAAGCTACAGCTACCTTAGCCACACACAAACCATAAGGAAGGAGACTCCCTCCTTTCAAATCTCTATCTCAGTAAGGAATGTAGAGAAACAGATAAAAATTGCTTCTTTCTCTCTTGCTGGGGCTGAACAGATTGAGCGGTGCTTCCTGTGCTTGCCACGAAGAAAACAAACGACTGAGACTAGGAAGTGAGTCATGATAACTCAGCATTTCTGAGTATAGCCATTCCAGTGCAAAGCCAATGCACTAGAGCATACACAAATCAAAATCCAAGAAATAAATCATGACTGAAAATAATTGCTTAGAGCAAATAGTCAAACATCAAAGTGAAATAGAAAGGAACCTGTGTCAAAATTGTAGCTGCCTCTCAAGCCTAAAAGACTGTACCTAAGCGATCTCTTGGTCTATACTTGTCCTTATCCAGAAACCCAGAAATCCAGAAACATAAGTGACACTTTGCTTCAGATGATAAATCATTGCAATCTCATTGGTGTTATGCTTGAAAACCTGTTAAGGTTAAGGAAAACCTGTTAGGCTCCATTGGTTTGCTACTATCTACAATAACTGTTTGTGTTCTTTTTTGAAAGACCTGAAAATATGAAAATACCTGCAGGATCACCATTTTATGTTCTCTATCTAGTAGCAAACATCTGCAACACTGTTTCCTTTATTCTCCGCTCATCTTTCCCAGTTTTCTTATTGTGCTTCTCACTTGAACTGCTCACCAAAAGGAAACATAATAAACTATAAGAAAGTTATAAAATGTATTTAAAAAGCCCCCCCTTCATGATAACTTGTTTCTTATAGTTACACAAGAGAAACTTACATCATTCTCCTGTGCATCAGTCGCTGTATGATGAGGTTCAGGATAGTACTTCAAAAACTGGGCTACATAGGTCATGACAGACTTTTCATCTGGCTTGTCAACATCCACATCTAGACAAACATAGAATACAGAAAATTAATTTTTTTAGCTGCTGCTTAAATGTCTAAACATTATGAATTAGCACATCTGAATTAATCCATCAAGTTCAAACATTTTTCAACTATGTATTAGGTACCTTCTGGATCAAGGAGCCTTGGAATTCCTAGCTCTTCTTCTGCAAGTGTGAAGGCTTCTTCCAGGTTTTCTCTGTTTGACCTTCCCCTCACTTTCTCCATGTCCACTAAATCTGGGCGGATGGCATGAATAATGGAATGAAATGCAACACCGCTCCTCCAACTTTGTCCAAAATCTTTGATTTCAATTCCAGCTTGTCTAAAGAATATGAAAGAAAAAAGAAGTTACTAACAACAGAATCAGGACTACATGAAATAGGGGAGGAGACATGATGCTCCACCCAGTGGTTACCTAGCATTAAACTTAAATCACTTCCTCTCGCAATGCTAATCATTGACTACAGCTCCATCCATCCACTGTATAAACTCATTTCTTTCCATGAGGATCCAAGTGGTTTTTGTCATATATACACTATATTTGTCTCCACTAGGCTTGCTGCTGGCAATAAGCCAATGGTATTTTGAAAAAATTAAAAGCACCAAGGTTCTCAAAGTTCTTATATGACACACACTGAGTCTGTGGATGTATGCAATTCCATTCACTATTCTCTCCCTCCCTATAAGCCTCATTCTATTAAAAGTACTGCAGTTCAGTGAGGTACATCAGTATCATACCAAAAAAATGGCTAAACTGCATTAAACTGTTCTTTCTTAAAATTAAACCATGAAGTGTTCAGTTGAAAATGTAACACACAAATTTCTTTATGTTCTTACCAAAAACATGAATCATACTATAATTTCACACACCCAGAAAACTTAATATGTCCACTAAACACAAATGATCCAGAAATAGCAATATACAGTAAGAAACTAATGAGAACTAAAACACACTCCTGACTGCTTCTTTTAAAAGTAATTCTGAAAAGTATGGTGGCCCACAGACTGCAAAGGCTGCTTTTAACTTTGTCTGAGCAGGCAAACATCCTTTGAGGACACACTTAAGACACTAAGGTAGTCTTGCCATTGGGAGGTTTGCAACAACAGTCACTCTGAGTGAAGGCTTCATTCAAAGCTCACTGTGATCAGTGAAACACTTTCACTGACTTTAAGGAGTTAGCCCTTGCAAATCACAATATGAAGCAGGGCTAAGTGAAGTGTACCATCCTTCCTCTAGGCTTCTTTCAACACACTTTATCTACTCTTGCCAATAAAGCTGACAGTTTCGTTTATGAACCCATTTGCACTTTGTTTGTTTACATGTCTGGAAATTGCAGCTGATCACTTTCAGTTGCCTGAACCTTACCAAAAACTGCGCAACAGGGAAAAGGCCAAATTAGACTGTACTGCACTATGGATGACTGTATTCTAGCTAGGGATAAGGTCTGAATCTATACAATTACATTTCTTTTCTCTGAGGCACCATACCATAACTGGCCATTCCCCTCTATATTTTGTATGATTGATGTCTTCAAATAGCAATGATTATTTAATTTGAGCAAGTAAATCTATTTTGTTCTTTTACACCTTTGATTTGTATTTTCTTATTGTGGAAGCTATCAAACTGCTATAGTATTTTTGATCTAATTTATGGTGGGTTTAATGACTTTTTGGAACCAGAACAAACATGGTATAATCTTACCAAATAAAGGAGAAGACAATCTTAAGTTAGAAAGAGATAGCAAGAAATAACTCCAAAGTTGGATTAAAAAGCATGAAAATTCAGAGCCATTTTTGTAATAAGTCCCTTGTATCAAAAAACTGAAGAAGGATGTGCATAATTTTTCATTACTTGTCTTTCCAGAGCAACTGCCAGAATTTAGTGCTCCTACAAGCTCTCACTAAGGAATGCTAAGTCAGTGTGGAACTGGCAGCATCACATTGAGTGATTTGGCAGCAGGACTAATATATTGTCATTTAGATGTCTGGTTCCCCTTTCAGTTCCTCATTCTGTCAGAGATAATCCCATTCATTAGTCAGAAACTATAAAATATGATTCCTTCTAAAATTAATGCAAATTGCTCCCTATTACTTGATTGCTGTAAGGTGGTAACATTTAGTGGGCTCAGTTGTCAAAAAGAATATGGTGAGGTGCCATGTAAATATATATATGGAGAGGGAGGTATTATACATATACAGAGCAAAATGATTAACTCTGACCAGGAGAGATTAGAATCTGAGGAAAAAGTTTCCAATTAAGATACAAAATCAGTTCATTTTTTGGTTACTTACTTTGCTGCTGTGTACTGCAACCATTTTAACAGAGCCTTTCTGGCACTTCCTTGGACCTTGGTTACCACCTTCCGTTTGCTTGGGGGACTTGCAGTTTCTGAACTGACAACACTCTCCACAGAAGAAGTGCTGCTAGACATCGACTGCAGCTGTGGGAGGTTGCTGGTAAGTTCTTCAATCTGTAGG